GCACTGTTGAACATCTCTCGGGGAATATTTATAAAACTAGTAAATTAGGAGCTGATCATTTTGGCTTCAGCTGCATTTGTCCTCTAAACTTTGATGGCATTAAGCTTTAAACTACAGTACAGCAATTGTCGAATCAGTTGGGTGTCATCAGCAGAGCAAGTTAAAAAGGCACGTTTGGAATAGTCACAATTTGTAATCAATATTTGAATCATAACATATCTGAATCATCACATATCAGAATCATCACATTTTTGAATCAATATCCAAATCATCACATATCTGAATTATCACATATTTAAATTAATTTCTGAATCATCACATATTTGAATAAATATCTGAATCATTACATATCTGAATCATTCCATATTTTAATCAATATCTGAATTATGATATATCTGAATCATCACATATTTGAATCAATATCTGAATCATCACTCATTTGAATTAATATCTGAATCATCACATATCTGAATCATCACATAATAGAATCATCACATTTTTGAATCATCACATATTTGAATCAATATCTGAATCATCACTCATTTGAATTAATATCTGAATCATCACATATCTGAATCATCACATAATAGAATCATCACATTTTTGAATCATCACATATTTGAATCAATATCCAAATCATCACATATCTGAATCATCACATATCTGAATCATCACATATTTAAATAAATATCAAAATCATCACATTTTTGAATCAATATCCAAATTATCACATATCTGAATCATCACATATCTGAATTATCACATATTTAAATTAATATCTGAATCATCACATATTTGAATCAATATCTGAATCATTACATATCTGAATCATTCCATATTTTAATCAATATCTGAATTATGATATATCTGAATCATCACATATTTGAATCAATATCTGAATCATCACTCATTTAAATTAATATCTGAATCATCACATATCTGAATCATCACATAATAGAATCATCACATTTTTGAATCATCACATATTTGAATCAATATCCAAATCATCACATATCTGAATTATCACATATTTAAATTAATTTCTGAATCATCACATATTTGAATAAATATCTGAATCATTACATATCTGAATCATTCCATATTTTAATCAATATCTGAATTATGATATATCTGAATCATCACATATTTGAATCAATATCTGAATCATCACTCATTTGAATTAATATCTGAATCATCACATATCTGAATCATCACATAATAGAATCATCACATTTTTGAATCATCACATATTTGAATCAATATCTGAATCATCACTCATTTGAATTAATATCTGAATCATCACATATCTGAATCATCACATAATAGAATCATCACATTTTTGAATCATCACATATTTGAATCAATATCCAAATCATCACATATCTGAATCATCACATATCTGAATCATCACATATTTAAATAAATATCAAAATCATCACATTTTTGAATCAATATCCAAATTATCACATATCTGAATCATCACATATCTGAATTATCACATATTTAAATTAATATCTGAATCATCACATATTTGAATCAATATCTGAATCATTACATATCTGAATCATTCCATATTTTAATCAATATCTGAATTATGATATATCTGAATCATCACATATTTGAATCAATATCTGAATCATCACTCATTTAAATTAATATCTGAATCATCACATATCTGAATCATCACATAATAGAATCATCACATTTTTGAATCATCACATATTTGAATCAATATCCAAATCATCACATATCTGAATCATCACATATCTGAATCATCACATATTCAAATAAATATCTGAATCATCACAATTTTGAATCAATATTCAAATCATCACATATCTGAATCATCACATATCTGAATTATCACATATTTAAATTAATATCTGAATCATCACATATTTGAATCAATATCTGAATCATCACATTTTTTAATCAATATCCAAATCATCACATATCTGAATCATCACATGTCTGAATTATCACATAGGTAAATTAATATCTGAATCATCACATATCTGAATCAATTTCTGAATCATCACATTTTTGAATCATCACATATTTAAATCATTATCTAAATCATCACATATCTGAATCATCACATATCAGAATCATCACATTTTTGAATCAATATCCAAATCATCACATGTCTGAATCATCGCATATCTGAGTTATCACATATTTAAATTAATATCTGAATCATCACATATTTGAATCAATATCTGAATCATTACATATCTGAATCATTCCATGTTTTAATCAATCTCTGAATTATGATATATCTGAATAATCACATATTTGAATCAATATCTGAATCATCACTCATTTGATTTAATATCTGAATCATCACATATCTGAATCTTCACATAATAGAATCATCACATTTTTTAATCATCACATATTTGAATCAATATCCAAATCATCACATATCTGAATCATCACATATCTGAATCAATATCTGAATCATCACATTTTTGAATCATCACATATTTGAATCATTATCTAAATCACCACATATCTGAATCATCACTCATTTGAATCAATATCTGAATCATCACATATCTGAATCATCAACTATTTGAAACAATATCTGAATCATTACATATCTGAATCATTCCATATTTGAATCAATATCTGAATTATGACATATCTGAATCATCACATATTCTAATCAATCTCTGAATCATCACTCATTTGAATTAATATCTGAATCATCACATATCTGAATCATCACATATTTGAATCATTATATATATCATATATTTGACTCAATATTTGAATCATCACATATTTAAATCAATATCTGAATCATCACATATTTTAATCAATATCTGAATCATCACATATCCAAATAATCACATATCTAAATTATCCATTATTTGAATCAATACCTGAATCATTAAATATCTGAATTATCACATATTTAAATTAATATCTGAATCAACACATATTTGAATCAATATCTGAATCATTACATATCTGAATCATTACATATTTGAATCAATATCTGAATTATGATACATCTGAATCATCACATATTTGAATCAATATCTGAATCATCACTCATTTGAATTAATATCTGAATCATCACATATCTGAATCATCACATATCTGAATTATCACATATTTAAAAAAAATATCTGAATCATCACTTTTTTGAATCAATATCCAAATCATCACATATCTGAATCATCACATATCTGAATTATCACATATTTAAATTAATATCTGAATCATCACATATTTGAATCAATATCTGAATCATCACATTTTTTAATCAATATCCAAATCATCACATATCTGAATTATCACATTTAAATTAATATCTGAATCATCACATATCTGAATCAATATCTGAATCATCACATTTTTGAATCATCACATATTTGAATCATTATCTAAATCATCACATATCTGAATCATCACTCATTTGAATCAATATCTGAATCATCACATATCTGAATCATCAACTATTTGAAATAATATCTGAATCATTACATATCTGAATCATTCCATATTTGAATCAATATCTGAGTTATGACATATCTGAATCATCACATAATCGAATCAATATCTGAATCATCACTCATTTGAATTAATATCTGAATCATCACATATCTGAATCATCACATATTTGAATCATTATATATATCATATATTTGACTCAATATTTGAATCATCACATATTTAAATCAATATCTGAATCATCACATATTTTAATCAATATCTGAATCATCACATATCCAATAATCACATATCTAAATTATCCATTATTTGAATCAATACCTGAATCATTAAATATCTGAATCATCACATATTTGAATCAATATCTGAATCATCACATACTTGAATCTATATCCGAATCATCACATATCTGAATCATTACATATTTGAATAAATTTTTAAATCATCATATCTGAATCATCACATATCTGAATCAACAATTGATTCGTCACCTATCTGAATCATCACATTTTTGAATCATTACATATTTGAATCATTATCTAAATCATCACATATTTGAATCATCACTCATTTGAATCAATATCTGAATCATCATATATCTGACTCATTATATATGTCATCATATATTTGACTCAATATTTGAATCATCACATATTTCAATCAATATCTGAATCATCACATATTTGAATCAGTATCTGAATCATCACATATTTGATTCAATATCTGAATCATCACATATCTGAATAATCAAATATTTGAATCAATATCTAAATCATCACATATCTGAATAATCACATATGTGAAAAATCACATATTTGAAAAATCACATATTTGAATAAATTTTTGAAGCAATGCTGAGCAATCACCATGAGCAAGTCAACATGTTTTGTTTGCACTTAACACCAGTGTAAATGTCAGACGCTGATAGTTTACAGTCTGTCAGCAGTCTTTTACACACACACACACACACACACACACACACACACACACACACACACACACACACACACAAACATTCACACTCATGTCTCCTCTGACAAACTGCATATTTAACCTACAGTACAACACCTCTTTAAGTGCATGTACTTAAACATCCAGACAGACAGACGGACGGAGAGCTATAAATCATGTTTAGAGCTTGTACAGAGCTCATCCTTCCCTCAGACAACATCAGTGCTAACTTTATTATTATTTTATCAAGACACTTACGCAATAATTAGACTGTAAACTATCAGTCTGAGTACACAAGCACACACAGAACACTCCACTCAAGTGTTTAAACTGTATGTAAATGGTCACATCAAAATGTAAATGTAAATGGTCACATCAATGAATCAATATTTAAACAGTCACATACATAAATGATCATATATTTGAATCAAAATCTGATTAATCACATATGCGAATCATCACATATTTGAATCATCACATATTTGAATCATCACGTTTAAAACATCACATATCTAAATCATCACATATTTGAATAAATATTTGAATCATCACATATTTAAATCAATATCTGAATCATTACATATTTTAATCAGTATTTTAATCAATGTATAATTAATAACATTTAAATCAATGTTTTGAATCATCACATATTTGAATTAATATTTGTATCATCATATATTTAAATCAATATCTGAATCATCACATATTTGAATTGTCAAAGTTTTGAATCAATGTTTTAAATAATCACATATTTGAATCATCATATATTTGAACCAATGAATGAATCATCACATATTTGAATCAATACTTGAATTAATGTATAATTCAGAACATTTGAATCAATGCTTCGAATCATCACATTCAAATCAATATTTGAATCATCACATATTTTAAACAATTTCTGAATCATCACCTATTTGAATCAATACATGAATCATCACATATTTGAATCAACATTTGAATTATTCCATATTTGAATTATTATTTGAATCATCTCATATTTGAATTGTCAAAGTTTTGAATCAATGTTTTAAATAATCACATATTTGAATCATCATATATTTGAACCAATTAATGAATCATCACATATTTGAATCAATACTTGAATTAATGTATAATTCAGAACATTTGAATCAATGCTTCGAATCATCACATTCAAATCAATATTTAAATCATTACATTTGAATCCTCACATATTTCAATCAATATCTGAATCATCACATATTTGAATCAATACATGAACCATCAAATATTTGAATCAACATTTGAATCATTCCATATTTGAATTAATATCTGAATCATCACATATTTGAATCATCACATATCTGAATCATTACATATTTGAATCAATCTCTGAATCATCATATATTTGAATTAGTATTTAAATCGTCACATTTTTTGAATCAATATCTGAATCATCCCATAACTGACTAAATATTTGAGCTGTTAGCCAGTTCATCTCTACATCTATCACACACACACACACACACACACACTCTAATACCTGAGACGAGGACTTCAGATGATGATCTGGCATCCCACTGTGATCCTGAAACACAAAGTCAGAAAACACTTTACCAATAGGCAGAAATAAGATGATGCGCAACGTTACTCAGAGTTTGTGTGTGTGTGAGTGAGTGAGTGTGTGTGTGTTACCTGGTGCGCTGCAGAGAGCGTCGGCTCATCACTGCTCCTGATCTAAAGACAGAAAGAAGAGATGCTGAAACAGACAAACATTTACTGCTGAGCAGAGTCAACACACACACACACACACACACACACACACACACCGATACTGCTGAGAGTGGACACACACACCTCTGAGTAAATGTGTGATTCTCGCTGAGAGTTTTCTGTATGTTTGAGGGACAAATAGAAAACGAGTGAGTGTGTGAGCGAGCGTGTGTGTGAGAGTGTGTGTGTGTACCGGTGAGGAAAACCTGAAGGGGTTCAGTCTTTGAATCATCCCCATGATTATTCCAGGATCCTGAAATAAAGAAGAAACCATCAACAGTAAACTACAGCGTGATCTAATGAAGCCGGTAACGACTGACAGGCTCGCAACGAAGCAACAGACCAGTCCATTAATGAGGAAGTAGTTTATCCCAAAGCCTCCACACTCTTCCGTTACACACATTTAAAAGTTTGTACTCTGTCTACACAAAAAAAACTACCTTCTCTAAGCACTAGAGGTCGCGTTAACCGAATATTTTCAGTCACTGACGGATTTATTTCAGCAGTGACAGAAACATCTGAAGGTGATCCGTCATTTTGATGAATTATGCTGAGGAGATCTATTGTAATTTGTAGCTAACTGTAATTCCCACTCCTGTCCAGCTGATGGCGATCGCCCTTGTCTTGTCTCCTCTTTGTCACCGCTGCGGACAGTCGCAAAAATCTCACAGCAGCTGAGTGTGAGAAGTTTCTTTAAACGGCCAAATAGTTGTGATATTAATAATAAAGGTGAAAAAAGAGGAAGTGATGCAGTGGACAATAGCCCCTTTCACACATACAGACCTTTCCGGAAAATTACCGGCAATTTTCCGGAAAGGTTGTATGTGTGAACAGGTCCTTTTTGAAAATACCGGTAAATTCGTTCTGGCTATTTTCCGGAAAGAGAAGTTGTAACATTACCGGTAATTTGCCGGAATGCTGTGCTGTGTGAATGCAGACGGAAGATTGCCGTAATAAGCGCGTGCACGTCTAGAACGTGCTGACGTGAGACGTCTACTTCAACCAATCCGAACAGTCAGAAGCATTCACATCCGCGTGGTTTATGAGAATAAAAGCCTTTCAATATTTTCCCAGACGCATTTAGCTGCTAGAAGTTACGATAGTTAGGATAACGTTTATATGTTCTTCTTAATGCCAACTGTGTAAATAATCATCGATGAGATGCTTATGATAATCCGTTGTTTGTTTACCTTCAAGTTTTGCGTGTGCCAGTGAAACAGCCGTGAGCGCCAGCACACACATATTATGAACATCTCGACATGCGAAAGTGATCCTCCATATGTTTTCATCGAAGTTGTTCACAATATTGATCATCCACAGAGTTTGTAATTTAGTCAAATGTTTACAAACACAAGCGCAGCCGTTTAAAGCTCATTTGTGGTGAATGATGTCAGAATTTACCGGTATTTTGGAATAGATGTGTGAATGCTCTTTTCTGAAAATTTCCGTAACGTCCTCGCCTGTGTGAACAGCGCTTTTTTGAATATACCGGTAAAGTCGTTCTGGAAATTTTCCAGATATTTACTGGTATCACTGTGTGAAAGGGGCTAATGAAGACCAAACAGACAAAAATACAATCCAACCAAGTGGCAGCTAGCAAGGAGGTCAGGTTTAGTGTTTTTATATTGTGCACTACAAAATTTTTTTTTCATTTTTAGTATTAGTTGTTTCTTGCAATCAATAAAGGTTTATTATTATTTATTGTATTATATATATTATTTATAGAAATGTTTTCTAACTGCAAAACGCTGGCTGAAGTGGCGCTAGTAAATCCGGTCTTTGTTCATGAGAAGTCGACTTTCCGAGGCAAAGACAGTCTCTCTTGATGCACTTGATCACGCACAGGCAAGCAACCAGTTCAGGTCGACGCAGGAGGAAGATATGAGGTAAGGCAGATATGAGCTATTGTTCATTTGTCAAATAAATAAATGAATAGTTTAGCCTGTATGCTCGTCGTGCAAGTTCATTATTAAAACATGAATGAAAAAAACGATCAGAAAGTCTGCAAATTACACAACAATCAATAATAAGTTATGACGGAAATTTTACAACTCTCTCCGTCAAAATGACAGACAGTTAGCACGCAGTTTAAGCATGAGAACAGGGATGCACCACTAATGTCTTCGATTAATTATTGGCTGTGTCCGAAACAGCCTACTACTCAGTAGGTACTGCATTTGAATTTAAACGTACTGCTCGGCCGCTAGAAAAGTGCGTTCTATACAGTATGAACGTGAAAGGTATGAATGGAATTCGGACGTACTACATCCGTCATTTTGTCATGGTCACGTGACCTACCTGCGTCAATTGCGTTGCTTTACTCCCATTTATGAATTCGCTCGCGGGCATCATGGGATAGCGCAGCATGCATGTGATGCGCACTCTAGAATCTCGCCGGAAGTAGTAAGTCATCCGGGTACTTCTCGCATTCTGGTTTTCGAACTCTATGACTTCGGACATACTACTCGGCTCGCATACTGATTTTAGCGTACTATATAGTATGGAAATATGCGGTTTCGGACGCAGCCATTGTGTGTGATATTCAGACCTGTGAGTGTGGAGTGTTTCTGCTGCTCTCTCCTGCCGCCTCAGGCCTGGAGGAGGAACTGCACACAGATGATTCCTGCAACACCACCACAAACACACTTTTACACTCATATCTTTAAAAACACAGAGTCCTGAATTATCCCCAAACACCGACATTTATCCACAGGTCTGTCTTTAAATCATCTACACCAAACAACTACGTGCTCTACATCCACCTGCAGACGATGACAATAGACTGTATGCGCTCTGTAATAAATGTGATGTAATGTCATGTGTATTCACATCTATAGCGCTTTACATCATGGGGGGGGTCTCTCCTCACCACCACCAGTGTGCAGCTGGATGATCCAATTGTCACAGAGGCCAGCTAGTAAGTGCTGTGCAGGTAAACCTCACTCCTCTGACCTCTAAAGGTGCTCTAGCAACAAACGGTCTTGGTGTTTAGCCTCCTTGGTAGAGCAACCGTCTCCCATGCGGAAGGTCGCCAGTTTGATACCAGCTCGGAGCGGGATGGGTGGCGTAGGACCGGCGGGGTTAAACGATGGCAGCCACAGAACAAATGGTACCAGTGTGCTCACCACACACCAGCAATAGGTGGAGTGTAGACAGTGATAGAGCCAATTCGGTGGATGGGTTGATGGGGAGGGCTGATGGGGGGAATTTAGCCATGACACTGAGGTTACACCCCTACACTTTACCAGAAGTGCCATGGGATTATTAATGAGCACACAGAGTCGGGACCTCAGTTTAACGTCTAATCTGAAAGACGGCGATCACTGACAGTACAGTGTCCCTTTCACTATACTTGGGCATTAGGACTTACAGACCACAGGTTGGTTTCCCAGAGATGGGTTGCGGCTGGAAGGGCAACCGCTGCGTAAAAACTCGCTGGATAAGTTGGCGGCTCATTCCACTGTGGCGACCCTGGATTAATAAAGGGACTAAGCCGACAAGAAAATGAATGAATGAAACCGCAGGTTGAGCGCCCCCTGCTGGCCTCACTAACACCACTTCCAACAGCAACCTAGTGTTCCCATGTGGTCTCACATTCATGTACTGACCAGGCTCAGCCCTGCTTATCTTCAGTGAGTCACCGGTCTTAGGCTGCAGTTGCTATAAAGTCTTGGAAACTCTTTATTTTAAGTTACAATTCACCCCATTAACTACTGGCGTATTCCCTGCCTATTATGAAGATATCATCTGTTCGGTAGCACTTATAAAGTGTGATCTTATTCTACATCCCTAATCCTAAACTTAACTACCACTTAACTATTATTAAGCAGCTAATTAGTAGTCGATTGAGCTAAAAGTCTTAGCTAATGCTTTGTTAATATTGCAAATTGTACATTAAAATGAAGTGCAAGCAAATAAATTATGCATAGCAAGTTGGATGTATGCAAATGAATTAATAAAATAAATATTATGAGCAATTTTAAAAAACACCACAATGCTACTTATAATGCTGTATATAATAAAGACCATGTTAAACCTCACCTGTTTGCTGTCATTATTCACCGATGACGTGGTTACTGATGAGTTCTAGGACGAGAAAATATTATTATCATATATATATATATATATATATATTAGACATAAAACATTGACATAAGCTGTAATAACTTACTCTTTATCCAAATGTAAAGCTTGTGGAAGGAAGAACGGTCAACAAACGGCTGAATGGAGTATGCACTAACCTATAGTATTCAGTCACAAGATGGCGCCAAACTGTCTAAAACTTTGGCTATAATGAACCCTTTTAATGTAAATATATTCTGTGATGGAAGGAGTGGATTTAACCAATAGGAGAGGTAAGTAGCCACTTATAAGGTCTCACGAAATCCCCAATAAATGCATAGAAGTATACATATTATCTTTAAACTATATTGTGTATGGTGAGGGTCAAACAAATAAAATTGAAATTTAAAATATTATATTCGTCCAAATTTGTCCCCCACCCCCAATGATGGCACAGTCCAGCAGTCAGATCAGATATAGATTTACAGTAGAAGGAGGTGCTCTATAAAAAAGACTAAACACACTAAACTAAATTTATTTTAAAAACTAAACAATTCATTTAGTTATTATTACTTTCAGTAGAAAATGGAGATTGAGTGCTATAAGAAAAAGAGACAAAACAAAAAAACATTTGTTTTATAGTTGTTTAAAGGGTCACAAAACACCAAAACACATGTGTTGAGCTGTTGACAGTCGTATATGTGTCCCACACTGCTAAAAACACTATTAGGACACCTATATTTCACTAAAAAGTGTAAATTGGTTGTTTTTGCGTTATTTCAAGCAAATTCGTACTTCCTGTTTGAAACGAATTTTTGAAGCTGCGTCACGGCCATGACATAATAGCGTGTATTCCAGCGTGCAGACTGGACGTCTGTGCCAGAGTGAGTCTTATTACGTCTTACAGTGTGATGCATTAATGCATGAGTAAGACTTGGTTCAAACCAATCAGCGCGCTCTATTGTGCAACTTCATTAATATTCATTACTGTCACAGTGTTTAGACGACAGAGACGCCACGTTGTGTTGGCAAAACAAGCGTGAAGTGTTAACTTTCCTGCAGTGAAGTTTTTAGGGTTTTTTTTTCTTCTCTCATTCGCAGTGCGGTATTAAACATTGCATGAAAAATACACACTTAGATCAGTTCCTCGAATCAAATATCTCGTTTGTCGCGAGGGACTGAATGAATTCCCTGAATGAAAGAGCCAAACTGCAGTTAAAGTTCACCATTTAATAATTTGGCAAATAATTCGACTACAGATGTCCATATAGGTTAAACACCATCACTTTCTCCTGTCTGTGTGTGTGTGTATTTTGACTCTGAAACTCGTGCGTGCCCAAATAGACACTCCCACACCATCCCACTTTAGTTCCTCCGACACTCCCCTCTAAACAGAGCTGGACACGCCCACTATTATGACTTTTTCCAAAGTAGAGGTGTGAAAACACCCTGCTAAAACTAGGGGGTTTCATGGCCCTTTAAAAAAAAACTATTTATTTAAAAATAACAAAATATATTTAGTATTTTTAGTAGTTTTTTTGTTTTATTTTGGAATTTTTAAAGAAAAAAATTGAAAACAATATTAAATGATCAATAAAAGGATGAAACAAAAGAAGAAATTTATTTAAAAATTATATTTACTTCTTTATTTAATTGTTTTTAATATAAACTGCATAAGAGGAGATGAAAAAAAAACAACACAATTGTTAGTATTTTTAATTGTTTTTTTGTTTGAAGACAAAATGATTAAAAGGAGGTGATAAATGAAAAACGACAAAACAAATGAAACAATTTACTTAAAAACTGAACAATTCATTCATTTTTACTTGTATTTATTTCTTTTTGGTTGTTTTTTAAAGTAGAAAAGACGTTTGAGGGATATAGGAAAAAAAGCTAAAACAAAACGAATCAATTGATTTAAAAAAAAAAAAAAAAAATATATATATATATATATATATATATATATATATATATATATATATATATATATATATATATATATATATATATATATATATATATATATATATATATATATATATATATATATATATATATATATATATATATATATATATATATATATATATATATATATATATATATATATATATATATATATATATATATATATATATATATATATATATATATATATATATATATATATATATATATATATATATATATATATATATATATATATATATATATATATATATATATATATATATATATATATATATATATATATATATATATATATATATATATATATATATATATATATATATATATATATATATATATATATATATATATATATATATATATATATATATATATATATATATATATATATATATATATATATATATATATATATATATATATATATATATATATATATATATATATA